ATGGATGGATGGATGGATGGATGGATGGATGGATGGATGGATGGATGGATGGATAGATAACATTATGACAAAACTAACCAGAGAGTTTTTTTATTAATTGGTGAGCAGTGTTTTAAAGTCTGTACAAACCAGGAGTTTATTTCATCTTTTGAGACGTTCAAAATAAAAACACTTGTTCTCTGAAAGATGAAACAATCATTTAAAGTTTGAGAAGATGGAAAATTATCACATCGGCAAATATTTTCATGGGTTTTTCTGCTTTAAACATATTTTAGAGACTGAAATGTTGTTTAGCCATAAACTAACTACCCAGCCACCCAATTAGTCACAATATTTTAAAACTATTTAATATTTAGTGTCCAAAAGAACAAAATCTGAATGTTTCAAAACTAAAACAACAAAAATGTTTCTTCAGCTTCTTATTCTTCTCGTACACAAAGCTTTCTCAATTTATTCATGGAGATGTTCTGGTGTTGCACCTAAATTCACATGGAGATCCATTCCAAGGCCCTTCATTCAGAGGGTCTTCATTCAGAGGGTCTTCGTTCAGAGGTTCTTCATTCAGAGGGTCTTCATTCAGAGGTTCTTTGTTCAGAGGGTCTTCATTCAGAGGTTCTTCGTTCAGAGGGTCTTGCTCATTTGTAACTTTTAGAAAGCTCCAGACAGTTTGCAGCATGAAACTAGCACCTTCTCTCTAATTTACATCTTCCTGCAAGAAACAAAACTTCAGTCTGTTGAACCTGATGACCCTCATGAGGAAGAGGAGGGAGAACTATCTGCAGGAGACTTTATCCATCCATCCATCCATCCATCCGTCCGTCCGTCCATCCATCCAACCATCCATCCATCCATTATCTTTACCCGCTTCTTCCTGTTTTGGTCACAGTGGTCATTGGTGCCCATGTCCATCAATCACTGTGCGAGAGGCGGGGGACACCCTGGACAGGTCTCCAGTCCATTACAGGGACATGGAGACAAACGAGACAAACATTCTCTCACTTACCTAGAGACAGTTTAGAGTTACGTCAGTCTAACATGCATGTTTTTGGTCTGTGGGAGGAAACTGTAGTGTCCGGAGAAAATCCATGCATGCACAGAGAGAACATGCAAACTCCACCCAGAAATGTCACAGGATGGGATTTGAGCCAGTGACCTTCTGCTGATAGGCAACAGCTCTACTAACTGATCCACCGTGTCGCCCTGTCTGAGAGTGTAGCTGCATAAAAAACGTCTTGTGCAGTTTAAAACTTAGAAGACCACATTCTCCAGTTTAATATAAGTATCGCTGGATTGGAAGAGAAATGTCTTCATCAAGCAGAAGTTAAAAACTGAGGTTTTTAGGATTTGCCCTCTCCTGCATCACTGATAATCTACAAAAAGAACAAACATTAATTTGGCTGTAAAGTTGAGGCTTTGTTGTCTCTCTGCAGGTATGTTGCAGTGTGTGAACCTCTCAGGTATCACTCCATCATGACTTCGGCTCGGTTCCACTCGTGCTGCGCTCTGGCCTGGACCGTGGCCCTGGTGTTCATTGCTCTGCTCTTTTCCTTCCACATGAACGTCCCGCTGTGCGGCCAAACCATCCAACATGTCTACTGCAGCAACCGAGCCATCCTAGACCTGTCCTGCATTCCCACCCCCATAAGCAACATCTACGGTTGGTAAATTATTGACAACGAGGCTTTATTTTGTCTTTCACAAACAAAGAGCTGCAACTTGCAGGACGTTCTAACAACAGGAACTCTTTAAGGACTCATCTGCAGCTTCTAAATGAAAAGTTTCATATGTGGGATCAATCAAAGTGGTTGGGTTATTTCTAGTTTAAAAATGGTGTGGTAGACCTCAGTCATTCTGGACTTTAAGTTTTTGTAAGGACACCTTTCTTTTCGTGTTTGTTTTTAAAGTGAGTAAAACAATTAAGGCGCCACTTCATTGGCCCATCACATCTACTGCTGCTCAGGTTACCAAGAGTCAGACAAGAACTGAAGCCAAGAGTGGCTCTCTTAGTGAAACATGAGATTTCTACACATCAGGTTCATCTGGTTTTCCTGTAAGGGTCCACAGACCACTTGCAACCTGTTCAGGTGTCCCCGCCTCTCGCACCGTGATGACTGGGCATGGGCACCAGTGACCCCCTCGACATGAAAATAAAGAAGCGGGTAAAGACAATGGATGGATGATGGATGGATGATGGATGGATGGGTCCACAGACCAGGTTGTAACCCCAAGTGGCAGCTTAGTTATAAAATGTTCATCAAGTTTATCAGTATCGACTGACAGATTAAGGAATAGTCGACTATTTTCTCTGCTGTAAAAGTTATGGTTCTTTTTCTGACCACAAAAATAACGACTTTGAAAGATGTGATCCTCAACTGCGACGACCGGTGACGCACCAGACACGATGTTTAACTTGTCCCTGCCTCTTTTCTGCTCTGTAGGTCTGGTTATGACCTGGTCTTGGAGTTCTGGGACCTTCATCCTCATTGCTTTCTCCTACATCAGAATCCTGAGTGTTTCTCTGAAACAAGGCCGAGCTGACAGCAGCGTCCGCAGCAAGGCCTTTCAGACCTGTGCGCCTCACATTCTTGTGTACGTGCTCTATCAGATAGCTTCGTTGATCGTCACCGTGGGTTCCAGGTTCCCCTCTCTTTCACCAAATATTAAGAAGTTCTTCAGCATTTTAATTTTCATCATGTCACCACTTATTAACCCCATCATCTACGGCCTGGTCAGTAAGGACTTACAATCCAGTGTCGTTAAGTGTTTCTCTGTACGAGTCAGAAACAAAATCTGACCCCAAAACATTGAGCATGAGTTTCTTGATATTAATAACAATGGTGGTGTTACATCAATACGGTTACATTTGCTGTACAATGATTAACATAAAGCTAGGAGAGGACGTCATTCTGTGTCGAGTAGGGAATGTAGTTTTAAGTTGTATGCCTACAAATCCCAGCAGCCACTCACCCATCATTTTAGAACACAAGATCTCGAGATCTTATTGGCTTAGAGATGGTTACAATTTATTGTAACAGCTTTTCATTGGCTGTGATAATGAGACATAATATTAATAATAATGAATTTAATTTGTAACGCACTTTTCATTAACAAAAATCTCAAAGTCTGCGACATCTGCGGTGGTGTGGCCAAGCTCTGAAGAAAATGTGTGTTTCGACGGATGCTCAGGGCCATTACTCGTGACCACATGGAGAGGCGGTAATGGCCCAGGGCTTGTGATTTATGTACCTTACATGTGGGTAAAATAAACATTCTGAAATGCTTGATCACTTCTCCTGAGTCTGCTTCAGACATTGAACATATCTAACAAGCCCAAAGTTATTTCCAAAATTCCTCTACGATGTGGCATCAGCAACAGGACGTTCAGCCTGTGATTTTCTGCTGACGTCTCTTGTGTGTGCGGTCATCCATGGCATCATCAGGCTCCAGGGTGAACAGCCTACGACCCTGAAGCAATCACCCATGTGAAGTGGAGAATGTGATGTCACTCACAGCAAGCTGTGTAAATATGACTGCTACATGTCATTGTCAGTGTATTGATTGTAAATGGTAAATGGACTGTACCTATACAGCTCCTTTCTGTCTTATCAAGTTGCTCAAAGCTCTTTACAACAATCCGTGCCTCATTTACTCGTTCATACAACAATCTACTACTCTACAAAGATAATATGAATCTGTAGAGACTAATCAGAGCTTTAGATCACATTCATGCACCGATGGAACGCACATCAGAGACAATGAGGGGTTCAGTGTCTTGCCCAGGGACACTTCAGCATGTGACTGTTGCTGGAGTTGAACCCCCAGCTCTCCCATTGGAGGACGACTGCTCTAACTCAACCCAACTCTGTCCAAATTTCAACCTCCCAGCTATTTATTAGAGGTGAAGTTGAACCATTTGAAGATAAATATTTATAATTTCATCCACGTTGAACGACAGCATGATGCTACCACCACCATGCTTGTTAGTAGGTGCTGCGCTCTTGGATCAACAGCCTTCACAATGACTCCTCCAAACCAACTTATTGGCTGCTATGTACAGTAAGCCCCCATAATGTGTGTCTACAGAACCATTGAGGTATGAATGTACACAACCACCACAGACATTTCAATATATATTATAGATGAATCTCTAAGCTCATCAAGCACAGCTCTAACATCATCCTCAAGTATGCTGATGACACCACCATCCTGGGCCTCATCAACAACAATGATGAGAGTGCCTACAGAGACGAGGTGAAATCACTGACCAGCTGGTGCCAGAAAAATAACCTCTCTCTAAAGGTCAGCAAAGCAAAGGAGATGATAGTGGACTTCAGGAAACAGCATAGAGGCCAGCACTCCATCATCTACATAAACAACTCTGAGGTGGAGCAAGTCAGCAGCTTCAAGTTCCTCGGCGTTCAGATTACTGAGGATCTGTCCTGGACTTTACAAACAGACACTGTGATCAAGAAAGCCCAACAAAGACTCTACTTCCTAAGAAGACTAAAGAAGTTTGGTACGAACACCAGCATCCTCACCAACATTTATAGGTGCACCATTGAGAGCCTGCTGACAGGCTGCATCACAGGGTGGTACACGAACTGCACCAGTCAGAAAGCTCTACAGAGGGTGGTGCAAACAGCAGAGGACATCACTGGTAGCAGTCTCCACACCATCCAGGACAGCTACCACAGCTGATGTCTGCGTAAAGCACGCAGCATCATTAAGGACCACACCCACCCAGCACAAGGACTCTTCCATCTACTACTCTCTGGCAGACGATACAAGAATCTGTCATTGTGTACAAAAAGACTAATGGACAGTTATTATCCACAAGCTGTCAGATTACTGAACTACTGATAAATAACACTGAACAACTGTCAATAACATCAAGACACATCTGTGACACCTAATAGATTTATTGATTATTGCTGCTGCATTATGTGGCTGTATCATGTATGGTACAGTATCTATGTATCTACCTTACCATCATAATTCAATCTCACTGTCACTCACTGTCTGTGCAATAACCTGTCACACAACCTGTGTAGTATATGTTAATTATGTGATATACGTACAGTGCCTTGTGAAATTAGTGGGCCCCTGTCACAACTCCTCACAGTTGGAACCCATTTGCAGGGAGGCGAGCGAGGCAGGAGTTTAAATAAAAATAATTTATTTAAACAACAAAACAAAAGGCTGTCGGTGCAGCAAAACTTACTTTGGCAAAACAGGATCAAAAACAAGGCTGAACAGGACATCAGAGTACACAGGCAGAGCAGATCATCAGGTGGACAAAAACAGACAGGACAGAGGAGGACTGAGATGTCTGTGAATACAGAGCAATGACCGGACAAGGAGTGGAGGAGAGAAAGGCTTTTTATAAGACAGAGGGAGAGTGAGTAATGAGAGCACCTGGGCAGGTGGCTGATGAGGGACAGGTGTGAATGATAAAGACTGAGGAGTGGAGAGGCAGCCTGAGGAGTGAGTGGAAAACAGGACCAGATACACAGGAACAGAAACCACAGAAAGAGCAGAACTACAAGAGCACAAAAAGCAGAGTGGGGAACACAAACACAAACAGAAACAGAAACAGGAAATGATACAATCCTTACAGGCCCCCTTGAACTTTTCAACCTTTTGCCACATTTCAGGCTTCAAACATAAAGATATAACATTTTAATTTTTTGTGAAGAATCAACAACAAGTGGGACACAATCATGAAGTGGAATGAAATTTATTGGATGTGTCAAACTTTTTTAACAAATAAAAAACTGAAAAGTGGGGCGTGCAATATTATTGGCCCCCTTTACTTTCAGAGCAGCAAACTCACTCCAGAAGTTCAGTGAGGATCTATGAATGATCCAATGTTGTCCCAAATGACTGATGATGATCAATAGAATCCACCTGTGTGTAATCAAGTCTCTGTATTAATGCACCTGCTCTGTGATAGTCTCAGGGTTCTGTTCAAAGCTCAGAGAGCATCATGACACAAGCACCTGGGAGACACCAAACATGTGGAAGAAGGTGCTCTGGTCACATGAAACCAAAATCCAACTGTGTGGACACAATGCAAAACGATATGTTTGGAGTAAAAGCAACACAGCTCATCACCCTGAACACACCATCCCCACTGTCAAACATGGTGGTGGCAGCATCATGGTTTGGGCCTGCTTTTCATCAGCAGGGACAGGGAAGATGGTCAGAATTGATGGAAAGATGGATGGGGCCAAATACAGGACCATTCTGGAAGAAAACCTGTTTGAGTCTGCAAGAGACCTGAGACTGGGACGGAGATTTATCTTCCAACAAGACAATGATCCAAAACATAAAGACACATCTACAATGGAATGGTTCACAAATAAACGTATCCAGGTGTTGGAATGGCCAAGTCAAAGTCCAGACCTGAATCCAATCGAGAATCTGTGGAAAGAGCTGAAGACTGGTGTTCACAAACGCTCTCCATCCAACCTCACTGAGCTCCAGCTGTTCTGCAGGAAGAATGGGCAGAACTTCAGTGTCTCCATGTTCAAACCTGATGGAGACAAACCCCAAGAGACTTGCAGCTGGAACTGCAGCAAGAGGCGGAGCTACAAAGTATTAACGCAAGGGGGCCCAATAATACTGCATGCCCCACTTTTCAGTTTTTATTTGTTAAAAAAGTTTGACACATCCAATAAATTTCATTCCACTTCATGATTGTGTCCCACTTGTTGTTGATTCTTCACAAAATATTAAAATGTTATATTTTTATGTTTGAAGCCTGAAATGTGGCAAAAGGTTGAAAAGTTCAAGGGAGACGAATACTTTCACAAGCCACTATACATATATATATATATATATATACAATCTCCTAGAAACAATCTAAACTTGTTTTAACTGGCCATGAGGCAGAGCTCTGAAATATAAATGAACTTCAGACAATTGTTGTTAAAAAAAAAAAAAAAATTGGGAAAATCAGTTTCTCATGCAAGTATTGTCTGATTTCCGATTTCCCAAAATAAGAAAATTGGGGGCAATTTATCGGTGCACCCCTAATATTTATATGCAGGAATTCAAGGGTTTTTATTGTCATTTGCATCACATGTGGTACACGAGGTGGAAAGAATATGTGTACTCAGGGTTCCATTTACATCCAACGAAAGTATAAAATGTAAAAGACAAACAGTAATAACATCTAAGATATGAACTAAGAAAAACATCAACTAAATATACACTAAGCACTAGAAGTACAAAAACAATAGGCCAAACAGCAGCACGAACATGAGTCTGTGTGAGCAACATGAAACAGATCAGCAGCAGCATGAAACAGATCAGCAGCAACAGGAAACAGATCAGCAGCAACAGAAACAGATCAGCAGCAACAGAAACAGATCAGCAGTAAACAGATCAGCAGCAACAGGAAACAGATCA